TTCCCGAAACCCCCCAGTCGCCCCCCAGCCACAGGGCACCGCCAGAAACCCGCCGGCAGAGCTTGAGCAATAGCAGCCCATGCCTGACATCTGCCCACACACATTTCGGAGGCCAGTAAACTTCCTGTGGATATTGGCTGCCTGACAAAAGTGACATAAATTCTGCCTTTTTTAAGGGTGGGTGCGTTGTTTTTTTTTTTTTTCTTTTGTATTTTGATAACAGGTAGGAGCTTCGTCTGCCTCTCCCTGGCTTCGGGATATACAAGCTTTAGGGAAGAGCTCAGAGGTGGGGGTATTTCTGTAGCTCGGGGGCCAGGTCGCAGAGGTAAGGCAAAAATGTCATACACATCTACAAAACACGGTTTGTTTTCACCTTTTAGGAAATTGTAGGCACACATTTCCCCTCTCAGCCTCCCCTCCTGCCCTCTCCCTCCATCCCCGAGGCTTCATCCCACCGATGCTCCAGGCAGGTGACACGTTTCCTCCAGGAGCCAGATCTACCCTGAGGTGCATCTTCAGCACAAATCCACACACAATTCAGCAGGCTCATTGGGGAGGTATTTATTATTTAAATAATAGGTTGGGGTTTTTTTACATCACCTCAGCTAATGAACCACAGAAAAGCTCCACATCTCGGCACCTTTGGGCTTTCTGAACTGAGCTGCAGCTCTCACAGGGACAACGAGACGCCCCACTCGCAATAGCATAACGACACCGTATTTGTTGGTTGCTGCATGAACGGGAGCCCCGAGCCTCCCAGCAACCCCCAACGGCAGCGATGGCCTCGGGACAAACCCAGCTCACCCCCGGGGTCGGATGCTCCTTACCCCGGTGGGGACCAGCTCAGAGCCCCGAAGAGCGACAGGCGCATCCCACAAAAGAAAACAGCGGTGCTGAAGGATGCTGCCTGATGGGGCAGGATCGATGTGACCTGGAGGTTTCCGCACTTGGGTTTTTTGGTTTTGTTGGGTTTGGGTTTGGTTTTTTTTTTTCCAAACAAAACCTGTAGAGAAGCGATGCCCCTGAGCAGGTTTGGCCCAGGCTGGCAGGAGGATGAGCAAAGGCTCTTGGTCAGGCAGCCCACGAGGACGAGCCCTCCTCCGTGCCAACGCAAAACCCATCAGCAGCATTGCCCTGCACGTGGGTAAAGCACATGGCTGTGACCGAAACCTCCCGTTCTCCGACTCTTTATTCCCTTTGTTGGCTCCTGCACAAACTACGGGGCAAAGAAAATTGCAAAATGGGTGCTCTCCTGAGCCACACAGCTCCGCTGGCCATCACAGCACCAGGGAAGTGCCACAATTTGGCTTTTTTTCTGCCCCGGTGCTCCTCAGACATGCTGGGCTGGCACCCACCGGAGCCTAAAATCTCTGGGGACGGGGGACAGACAGACAGACACATGCACACAGATCCACACCCAATAAAGTGCATTTCTTTAGGCAACCAGCCTACCAAATAAAGGGGAATATTTGGGGATACACTGCTCCCTTCCTCTCCTGCCCAATCCCTAGGGACCTGGGGGCAGAGATGGGTGCTTGCAGCAACGGTGGCCACCCAGCCCCATCTCCAGGACCCATAGCCCTGCCTGCACACTGCCTTCAGCGTGAAACGACCGTGGGGACCTTGCTGGGAAGCACAGCAGCAGGAAGCTCTGCTCCCCGACACTGCCCCCGCAGCAGTAGTGTTATAGCAAACCCCCCCGCGCTTCCATCCCCCGACCCTCCCGCAACGTGGCCAAGCGCAGCCTGCACCCTTTGCCGGGTGGGAACAGCCCTGTCTAAGGGCGACAGCGATACCCAGGTACTCATCAGCCCTTCCGATCCTGTCCCACAGTATTTTTTGCCCTGTGAGAGACCGCACTGGCTTTCCAGGGCCTTCCCAGACACGCGGTGACACCTGGCCGGGCCGCCCGTACCTGGCCCACCCTGCAGCAGATACGTCTCTTCATGGGCCGCAAGGCAGAGCTTCATTAACATCTGCCAAGGCTGTGCTTCACCCCAGCCTGGCAGATGTCTCCTGGAAAGGCCGATGGATCTACCGCCCACAGGGGCCCAGCTGTGCTGCCGGTTTTTTCTTTGCGGGGGACGAGGTCTGTCTGTCCTGGCTCGCGGGGGTCATCTGGCAGCACAGCACAGAGCGCATGAACCGCAGGACCGGCGGCCTCAGGATGGCGAAGACCCAAGGGTCGATGATGGAATTAATAGAGAGAAACCTCAGGGCGAGGAGGTCCCAGTCGTGGTTGTCCTCTTCCGCGCTGAATTTGTTCATGTAGGCGCGGATCTGTAAAACACGACAGGGAGAAATAATGCTGGGTTTGCGCTTCCAGGAGCCGGCCCCTGGGTAGCTTCTTGGGGAGATTTGGGCTGCCACATCACGCTTTCTGCCTCCACCAGTTTCAATGAACTTCTTGCTAACGAAAGCCAGGCCTGTGCTCTGCCCTCAGCACGCAGTGAGGCTTCGTTTAGCCCTAACGCAATTAAGCCAGCGACTGCTCGAGGAAGCGGGGGGGTCTCACCTTGAAAACCACCCGGGACAAATAAACGTGTAAGATGGACAGGATGCCGGGTGCTGGACCGCTCCGCTCCTTCTTGCAATGTGCCGACTCATAGCAGCTTACGGGGTTTCCTGGAAGGGTGACTCAGCACTCCTTACTCATACGAGTCGAATCGCCACCCCCTCGCTTTGGGGGAGAGGGGATGCTTGGATGGGGATGGGAGCTGGGGGCGCAGGAGGCACGAGCCCTCCGGCTAGGATCTGTCGGGTACCACCCAGAGCTGGTGCATCCCGGGGCACGAGGTGGCCACGGTGCAGTTGGTACCCGGGGCTACCGAGAGCGCAGCACCCTGGGCTTGGGGCTTTTTTGGGAAGGATTTTGTGGTGCTGCAGCCTGATGCCCTCGGGGTTCATGTGCCTGGGCTGCTCCTCGGAGGGTGGCTGCTGTGGGCAGCCCCCAGCAGAAGAGG